CCACATATACATAAGGGTTGGCTTGTTATTACCACATATACATAAGGGTTGGCTTGTTATTACCACCTACACATAAGGGTTGGCTTATTATTACCACCTACAGATAAGAGTTGGCTTGTTATTACCACCTACACATAGGGCCGTTTGATAGGTAGCAGTACCTTGATGGGTAGTCATACAGGGTTTTAGGGTTTAGGGTTTTAGGGCAATCATGCACAGGCGCTAGCACACACCTGTTGCACAGCCATGACATCCGCCAGTGCCTGCAGTGGGTGGTACTTCTCAGAGAGAGCGTTGATGACGGGCACGCGACTGTACTTGCCCAATTCCTGTAGGTACAACGGAGAAGTGGGGGATGATGAAAGTAAGTTAATATATTAAAAGAAGAGGTGGATAATGATAGTAAGTGAATATATTAAAAGGAGAAGAGAAGAGGTGGATGATGATAGTAAGTGGATATATCAAAAGGAGAAGAGGTGGATGATGATACTATGTTAATACATGGAAAGAATAGCCTACAGATGAGAGTAATATGCGATCACAATTGACCCATGACAAGACTATAGGATTGCCTTGACAGATACTTCCGCTGAATCTAAACCCTTAAACCCTAAAACCTCTTAACCCCTGAAACTCTAAACCCTGTGACAAACGCCGGCGAACACATCGGTTGCACATTCACAAATAGATATCGCACGGAGACTGTCCACTGTGGCAGAAACGGTCACTGAGTGTATCGGCCCGACCGAACAGCCCCGACACTCGAACAACACAGCCAGGTAGTAGCGTACAGCGCATCTGCTGACCAACTCATGTATACCTACAAACGGTATATGTGTACTATTGTACTCATACCTGCAGGTTGTATCTGTTTACTATTGTACTCATACCTGCAGGTTGTATCTGTGTACTATTGTACTCATACCTGCAGGTTGTATCTGTTTACTTTTGAACTCGTACCTACATAATGTATCTGTTTACTATTGAATTTATACCTGCATATGGTATATGTTTATTATTGTACTCATACCTGCAGGTTGTATCTGTTTACTATTGAACTCGTACCTACATAATGTATAATTTTACTATTGTGCTCGTTCCTACATAATGTATCTGTTTACTATTGCATTCATACGTACACACTGTATCTGTAAACTAATTTACTCATACCTACATACGGTATCTGTATACTATTGTACTCATACCTACATACTGTATCTGTTTACCATCTTACTCATTTATAAGTCGTGACAGTAGTCGTTCCTAAGTTGTGCTTATATGTGTGGAATCCTGGGATAAGAAGACCCCAATACATCAACAGGGGGCATGATAGCTACAGACAAGGGATGAATACAGCACTCAATATACAGGTGGTGGCTGCCTAGCACCATGGTAACCATAGCAACCAGCGGACTTACCATGATGTCCGAGTGTTTGTTCACCCTGGCCAGGAGAATGTCGTTCATCCGACTCAGTACATTGGATGTGTCGCGCACGGACTCTGCAACAGAAACAAAGATAAATCTAGTATGAGCACTCTATATATATATATACATATATATATATATATACTAACCTAGTTTGTATCACACA